TAAATGCATTCAAAACAGAAGTATGCTACTATACTGAGTAAAATTTTAATTTATATAGGTGAGTTCAAGCTAAGTTGTCATTTATTTTATATGTCTTTTATTTCCTCAAGTTGAAAGTAAAGCAGGCAATGTTTACTAAAAACACTTGTTTTGTTTTAATATGAAAATAAAGTGCCTTAGGAGGATCAGCACAAGTTCAGGGCAGCTGGTTTACATGGCAAGTTCCAGGTCAGCCTCAGTCACAGGGTAAAAGTTGGTCTCATAAAACAAAGAGGGAAGAAAGAGGGAGTATGTCTTTTATTTCCTCAAGTTGAAAGTAAAGCAGGCAATGTTTACTAAAAACACTTGTTTTGTTTTAATATGAAAATAAAGTGCCTTAGGAGGATCAGCACAAGTTCAGGGCAGCTGGTTTACATGGCAAGTTCCAGGTCAGCCTCAGTCACAGGGTAAAAGTTGGTCTCATAAAACAAAGAGGGAAGAAAGAGGGAGGGAAGGAGGGAGGGAGGGAGGGAGGGAGAGAATAAATTGCTACTAGCTATAATAAGTCATTTTCTGCATTGGAATATATACAGACAACTGATTTTGCTGTCCCGTTGAAGAATTTTCCAAAACACAAAAAAAGTCAAAATTGTAAACATAGATAAAATAAGTCAGGACTAAATTGAGGATGTATTATAAAAAATTTATAACTGGAGATGTCTATAAAATATGTAAAAAAAGTACACAAAACAATATTTACAAAAACATTTCTAAGGCGATACAGGTAAAAGCATTCCTGAAAACAATCCACAATAATGTGTAATCCTTCTACAGGTTTAACACTATATGTCTCAACATCTGAGCAAGTGAAAAACTCAAGAAAAGTCCCCTGATAGTGCGATTCAAGTTATCAAACTTCTTCAGGAAACTTCTCTTCAAGAGATTCTCTTGAACATTTAAAGTGGTGTGTGCGTGTGTGTGTGTGTGTGTGTGTGCGTGTGTGTGTGTGTGTGTGTATACAAGTGATCCCATATACCAATGCTGATAATACAATAATCACCTAGGCATGATTTTAATGAACTAGGAGTAACATCAATTAAAATTCTGTCTCTCAGGACCAGGGTGGCCAGTATGCTGCCTGCCAATTATCTACTTGGAATGTTTACAAAGCTGATGAGGAAACAGACCCATCTGCTTAGAACACAGTGCTTTAATGAAGCAGCAAAACTCTTGCTTGAAATACTTGCTTTAAGATAAACTTTTGATAAATTCTCTATACATAATTAAATCTTTGTTAATTATGTTTGATGGATGACCTTAGTAAACTTTAAAAATTCAGTAGCTACATTTTTATGCCATCTGTGAACATGGACTAACAGTAAAGGTCT